AAGAAGTTATAATGAGAAGAACTTGTTCAACCTTTGCTTGAATTCATCACTTGATCAACATTTCCAGAGAAAGTTCATAATGAGAAGAACTCATCTGAAGAAGGAAGAAGAAGTTCATAATGAGAAGAACTTGTTCAACCTTTGCCTGAATCCATCATTTGGTGGATCATCTTTTCCAGAGAAAGTTCATAATGAGAAGAATCATCTGAAGAAGGAAGAAGAAGTTCATAATGAGAAGAACTTGTTCAACTTTTTGTTTAAATTCATCATTTGATGGATCAACATTTCCAGAGAAAGTTCATAATGAGAAGAACTCGTCATCTGAAGAAGGAAGAAGAAGTTCATAATGAGAAGAACTTGTTCAACCTTTTGCTTGAATTCATCATTTGGTGGATCATCTTTTCCAGAGAAAGTTCATAATGAGAAGAACTCATCTGAAGAAGGAAGAAGAAGTTCATAATGAGAAGAACTTGTTCAACTTTTTGTTTAAATTCATCATTTGATGGATCAACATTTCCAGAGAAAGTTCATAATGAGAAGAACTCGTCATCTGAAGAAGGAAGAAGAAGTTCATAATGAGAAGAACTTGTTCAACCTTTTGCTTGAATTCATCACTTGATGGATCAACATTTCCAGAGAAAGTTCATAATGAGAAGAACTCATCTGAAGAAGGAAGAAGAAGTTCATAATGAGAAGAATTTGTTCAACCTTTTGCCTGAATCATTTGGTGGATCATCTTTTCCAGAGAAAGTTCATAATGAGAAGAACTCATCTGAAGAAGGAAGAAGAAGTTCATAATGAGAAGAACTTGTTCAACTTTTGTTTAAATTCTCATTTGATGGACATGGCCAAAGAAAGTTCATGAATGAGAAGAACTCATCTGAGAAGGAAGAAGAAGTTCATAATGAGAAGAGCTTGTTCAACCTTTGTTTGATATCATCTGAAGAAAGAAGAGAAAGTTCATAATGAGAAGAACTCATCAAGAGTTATTCAACTTTTGAATGACTCTATCACAGAAAGGAGGTCATCATCATCCCCAGCAGAGGTCATAATAAGAAGAACTTATTTGGAGAGAGAGAAGAATTTATTCAATATCTCCATCATGATCAAAGTAAAGTCAAATGGATAAAATTTTATTCTTTTTATCTTTGCCTATTCTTGTTAACACAAGAATGAGCAAAGAGGGGCAGCTGAAGATACTAAATTTATCCATATTATATATTTTATTATTATATTATTATTATATTTATATATATTATTATTATATTATATTATTATTATATTATTAATATTAATTATTTTTTATTATTAAATATATTAAATACAAACCAGTTACAATTAAACCGGCTCAGTTACAAACCAACTGAAACGGTCCAATCCAACCGGAAACCCAAATATTTGGGTTTCCAGTTAGGGTTCCCTAACCCTCTAGCCAGCCGCCAGCCGCCATCTTCAATCTCAAACGTTGGATCTGGTTTGATCCAACGGTACATCATTTGCCAGAGGAAACTAGGGTATCTATACCCTAGGGACGTCCCACCGCCGCGTGCTTCCAGAAGCCCTCACCGCCTCCGCCGCTGCCAAGTCCCGAATGATGCTTCCAGAAGATCAACGCAGCCGTCCATGCAAGGCTACGGGTGAGTCACCACTGGTAGTCCGGTGACTCACCGAGGCCCCGCTCTTCGGACCGGTCCGAGACGAACACCCGGTGGGGCTATAAAAGCCACCACCACCTGCGAAAGAAAAAAAAAAGACAGAAACAGAGACCGCAGGAGAGACAGAAACCAAAAAAAAAAAAAAAAAAAGAGAAGGAAAAAAAAAAATAAGCTATACCAACGATCCCAGTCTACAACACAGCAGTAAACCAAAGGAAAAGAGAAGAAGAAGACTTACCCTTGAAGCCTTGTGGCCCTCGGAAGCCAAACGTTGCCAAACCGCCGTTTAAGAAGGTAGAACCTTCGGTTTTGTTTAGATTACTCCGATTAGGAGTCTTTAGAGAAAACAAAGACCGGAATCGGTCTTAGGGTATTTAGATCTACAATTTGGGGGTGTTTTGGTGAATTCCGACCACCGTTACGGTGGCCGGCGGCGGTGGCCGGCGGCGGAGTACGGTGGCCTATGGCTGCGGTTTCCTCCGGTGAGGGAACCTAGAGAGAGGCGAGAGAGAAATCTCTCTCAGTTTGAGAGAGAGAAGAAAGAAGGAGAAATGAGATGTTGGCCCGAAGGGCCAGCCAACCTAGGGTTATACCCTCTCTTAAACGGCGTCGTTTAAGGAGAGGACCTGTGCGTAATTATAGAAAGGTTAAATCCTTTCCGCAGTCCTGAATTTTAAACTTTATATTTTAGTCACTGAACCTAATTTTAGATCTTATAATTTGGTTCTTTAATTGTGGATTATTTATTTTAGTCCTTTCTATTAATATATTTAGGATAAATACGTATTAATCCTTAATTTTAATAATAATATTTTAATCCCTAGCTTATTTTTTATTTATTGAATCTAATATCCGAATTTAGATGATTTTATTTTAGTCACTAAATAAATAAAATAAAAAAATAACCTATTTAATCCCATAGTTTGATTAATTATGAATTAGATTTTTTTAATTTTATTTACTGCAATTTAGTCATTTATTTTATATTTGTTAATTTAATTTTATTTTGTTTAGTTTTATATATGTTTTATATTGTTTTAATATATTGTTTTATATTATTCTTATTATGTGTTAAATTTTTGATATATAAATATATATATAAATATTAACTTTTAAAAATTTATTTTTAATATCAAAGAAAAGGACAGTCTAATACAACTGGATGTCCTATCCTGATATTTTAAAATTAAACAATATTATTTAAATTAATATTTATCAATATCAAAGAAAAAGAGCTGTCTTAAGGTACCTAGAAGTTCTTTTCGGATATTTTTAAATAAAAAATATTTTTTATATAATTTTGAAATAATAGAATTATAAATTAAATATATTTTTGAATTTTTAAAATTTTAATACTAGAGACAATTTATAATTAAAAAGTACCAATTTTGGGCGTTGTAGGGGTGCTAATCATTCCCTAAACGTAACCGACCACGAACCCCTTTTTATTATTAAAAAGAACAAATTTTTGGTTATAAAACGCAGATCAGTTCATTTTTTTAATTGATGTTTTCTTAAAACTCTTTTAAAAAATAATTTTTAGGTATTCGACCTACCTGATCCAAAAGGTCGATGGCGACTCACAAATTATTTTCAAAATTATTTATTAACATTAATTTCCCCACCAAAATTTAATATTTCGTGCCCGGACGAAAACCGGTTACGACACTAGTCTCGTAAAATTTCTGGTCCTTGTTATCTTAAGTTTCTTTCAAGATTAAGACATCACCCTTTGAATTTGCTTTTGTAAACCCATGTCTTATGTGACTAGTTTTCTCTGAACGTTAGGTGTTTTTGACACCTGATGGAAGGGGTTGGGGTCTAAGAACTCTAGAGAAGCTTCCCAAAGGTGCTTTTGGTTGTGAGTTTGTTGGAAAAATACTCACCATCTCTGAGTTGTATGCAAGGAACAGAGAGAAACATACATCTCCAGTCCTGCTGGATGCTAACTGGGTATTGAAGGGAGTTCCTAAGGATGAAGAAGCCCTCTGTTTGGATGCCACATGTTATGGAAATGTTGCTAGGTTTATCAATCATAGGTAATTGTATGTATGCATGTATGTTGTATATTAGACTTTTTGTGCCCCCATTTCTTATGTGTTCAAAAAAATTTCAATTGCTTATTTGCTTGTGCATCTGTGATGTGTGTTTTTGTGACATTAGTAATAGACTTTGATGACATCAAGAAGTTTCCATAGATGGTTTAAGCTGGTTGATTAGTTGAATTTTCTTTCTGTACAAACATTAGTTGAGATATTAGATTAGGATATGTGAAGAGGTCACCTGCAACATTAACATGATTTCCATGATTGAGGTTTTGTTTTAATTACCGTTATGGTTAAGGTACATGATGAAAAATGTATAGGAATATCTGAGCAACTTGATTAAGCTGAGATTAAAGATATCTGATTCTGTTTTTCTTATGTTACTAGATGCTTAGATGCAACCTTGATTGAGATTCCTGTTGAAGTGGAGACTCCAGATATTCATTACTATCACGTATGAACGTTCTCCCCCATTGTCCTATTTGTTTGCTGGCTTAAATTCTATCAGTAGAAAGTCTAATTGAGCATTTATTGGATGCAGTTCGCCTTCTTCACAACAAGAGATGTTAATCCACTTGAAGAGTTGACTTGGGTGAGTGATTAGTCATAAGTTGAATTGTTCTGAAACTTGTAGTTGCTATTTGTTGCATTTTATAAGATTAAGAAGAAAAAATGGAAGTAATGATCAGATTGTTGATTTTGCCCGAGAAAAGATGGACTTTTATGTTTCAAGTGTTTTGAGAAGAAAACTGGGTATCACTATTCATGTATTATTGTATAGTCTATCCTGTTAAAATGCTACGCATTTTTTTGATGCAGGATTATGGCATTGACTTTGATGATCTTGATCATCCTGTCAAGACGTTCCAGTGCAGATGTGGCAGTAAGTTTTCCAGGAACATGAAACGCTCAACTAGTAAGTAATTTGGTCATGTAGAATCTGTAGTTGATTGAAATAGGCAGCAATCTGCATGAGGACACTTTCAAGATATCCGTACCGATTATCTTCTTTTCTGGTACAGGGTCTAAATTTGCAACGAGATGAGCTGGATTTTGGCCATGGAAACGTTTTGCCGTTTTTGATTTACAATGTTTCCCCCCTTCTGATCTACTTTGGGGAATATATATAGAACCTAGTTTTATTCAAGTTAATGGGCTTGTTTGAATTGACTGATTCGGTCATTAGTTCTCGATACAATCGGGTTTTTTCTGATTCGATTTGAAGAACACTACAATATCCGATTTGGATTATTTGATTAATTGACTGGCGGTTAAACCCCAAAAAGGAGAGACAAATAAATAGTGGTAGAATATTTCAGATGATTTCTGCTTGGATGAATATATATTTACTGTTAAAAGTACATATTATACAACTATACATGTCATAGGACTCCATTTAGGCAACACACTGCACCTTTTGATCCTCCGGTGACATTGATTCCCTGTCGTGGGGTCTGGAGAGGGATTCATGGTCGCAGCCAGAGGGCAGAACAGGTCGAATGCTGCCAGGGTTCAATGGAAAAAGTATCCGGTAATAACCGTCCATAATTGCCGGAAAATTGCAAGTAGCAGCAACCTTTGGAATCTGATAAACAAGAAAAAATATATTTAGTTTTACTCTGCACATTTCAGGATGCTCTATACTCTATTGGTAGCAGAAGGGCAACTATGGATTTCAGAGTAATTGTCTGATGGCAACTGCTTCCCTGGGTTGTTTAAGGTTTTCCAGAAATTATATAAACACACTGTTGGTTTGTTATTGGTACCTGATAAATGTCGCGCATATAACCATGAAGATTCGGAAACTCCAGCAGCTTCTTCTTGGTGCATTTGAACAGGACATTGTAGACAACATCAAACCTAATCAATGTCGTAAACAAACAAATATCCGCAAGAGTCAATCTGTCTCCACACAGGTACCTTGAACCACCCAGATGATCATCCATCTTATCCAGAGTATTAAACAAACCACTCACTGCAACATCATATGCCTCTTGACTTTGGGCAAACCCACATCTACAACACATCATCTCAATTTATATAAACATTCAAAGATTAACAACAATTCAAGTTTCAGTTTTTACCTGTAAACCCCATTATTAACATTGGGGTAAATTACTCGATTCCACTCTTCTATCTCCCCTTGTAGCTCCACCGGTGAGAGATCCAAACCCGGGTTCTGGGCCAACCCGTTTAGACCCAAATTGAAGAACTCGATGATATCGTAACTCTCATTGCAGATTACCTCTTTCTGGTCCACGTCCCATAGCATTGGCACCGTGGCCCGCCCGTTGTTCCCGCCTTTCTTCAGCCCATAAACCTCCTTCAAGTTCCGGCATCCGTTAATCTTATCCCTGGTTGGAACAAGGGTACCATCGTCTCTACTCTTGTCTTGGAAGGAGAAATCGCCGAATTCCCAAGAGCCGTCGAGGCCGGGGGCTGCGATGGAGACGGGGATGGCTTCTTCGAGGCCTTTGAGTGACCGGACGATTAGGGTCCGGTGGGCCCACGGGCATGGTAGGCCAACGTAGAGGTGGAGTTTGGTGGCTGTTGGGAATTGGCGGGAGAGGCGGAACTTCGAGGGAGGCCTGGTGTAACCGCCGGAGGGATCCGAGGGAGCCAATTGGGACATCATGAGCTTCCACGTGGATGTCCACGCTGTACGGACGGTGGAGATTAGGAGCCCTGGAGGGAGGGAGGGACCCCATAGGAGCTTGGAAATGTTGTTGATTAGATTGAGACCATTGTTGTTGCTGCTGATGGTGGTGGTGGTTTTGCTGTTATCGTCAAAGGACATCCTAGGGCTGACGTGGCATGCCGATTTGAAGGAAGTTTTGGGTGGCGTGTGAAACCGGAGGTGACAACTGGGGAGTGAAATGCACTGCATTACTTCGTTTGTTCCTTTTTTTTTCAATGTTCTGTGCAACTGTTTAATGCTTATCTCTTCTCTTCCAGTGGGAGATGAAGGGTGGAATTGTAAATTCCAATACTTTTTGCATTACTTTTGAATAAAACGCTGCGTTCTAACTTTTGAATAAAATTTGGGTTTATTCATATGTATGCAGATAATGCTGGTGTCATTGTCAATCCTAAGGGAGAAATGAAAGGTGAACTATCTCACTCATCTTCTTCATTCTATTTCGTACTATCCAAGTAGAATAACCACGTCTGTTGAATTGTGGGGGTTCAATGCTGAAGTTTTGCTGTTCATGTTGCTTTTAGCTATGTTCAAATGAATATCTGGTTCACTTGCTCTTACAGTATCAAATGCGAAATCAAGTTAACATGGGTGACACTGATCATTCACTATAAGGATTCTAATTTCTGCTCCTTAATTGACATAGAACCTGAGAAATGTCATTACTGGTTCTAGATGGTTTCCCAAAACATAAGTACATAACTTGAAAAGATGATGGTTTTTTCTGCATTTGTGGCGGCCATAGATGTAATGAAATTTGTTAGGATGGTTTTATCAATGCATTTATTATTGGTTTGCAGTTTTCTGGTGGAAAGTGATATGTTCTTTGATTTGATTATTGAAACTTATTTGGGATCTTTGATTTGGTGTTTTCCAGGATCTGCTATCACTGGTCCCATTGGGAAGGAGTGTGCTGATCTGTGGCCTAGAATTGCAAGTGCTGCCAATGCTATTGTCTGAACTCTGAAAGATTTTCATGGTTTCATTTTCCATTGTAGTTTTGATATCATCTTTCAACTTATTTGAATTTCCCATTTAACATGTATCCATATTTTCAAATCTCTTTCATGATGCTACTGTTTTGTCATGCTTCCCTCAATCTTTTTCTACTTATTTAGAATCAACATAGCCCCTTCGACTGCAGGAATCCGTCCTGAAATAGAAGATTGGGATTGGAACAATTATCAGTCAAAAGACAAACATGATTGCAATTATAAAGTTGACAATGACATTTACTACCAAAAAAGGGTTTAAAAGCTAAAACAATTACTCACTGGTGCCTAGACTGTAAGGCCCCCTTAGAATGACTAGCTGCTAATTTCTTGCGGAACTGGAACCTGACAATCCAGCTTATTAACCATGTACAAACGTTTAGAAGCAAAGGTCATCTTCCCATCATAACTTATAATGCCACCACTCCAAAGCTATAAACATCGCATTTATCCATCAGCCGCATGGTGAGTGCCAATTCTAAAAATTCCAGGTAACCAAAAGAAAAAAAAAACTTCAAGCCTTGTTGTGTGATTCAATCAGTTAAGTGAAATAAGAATGCAGAAATTGTATTGCTAACCTGGTGCCATGTAGCCAATGGATCCCACAACAGCGGTCCATTTGGATGAATTTGGATCCAACAATTTTGCAGTCCCGATATCTGAAAGCTTTGGCTCAAATCCAGCTTCCAAGAACACATTACTCGAAGATATGTCTCGGTGTATGATTGGCGGAGTACGGTCATGATGCAAGTAAGCAATTGCATGAGCCAATCTTGCACAAGCTTCACCCTTTTAGCCCAGCCAAGCTCAACTCCCCCTTCTTCTCCATACAACACACTTCTTTTTCTATGTTCTCAAAAACCAAGTACACAAGTCCCCTATGAGAACAAAACCCGTGTAGCTTGATAATGTTTCGATGCCTAATTTCTGTTAGCATAAGGATTTCATTCACAAAGCTTTGGTGATTGATGACTTGAACATCTGCGGAGTCCGATATGTGGAGTCTTTTAACTGCAACTACATGACCCGTAGGCAATAATGCTTTGTAAACACTGCCTGATCCTCCTTTCCCAATGCAGTACTTTTCATTGAAATCCTCAGTTGCTTTTACTAGATCCCCAAATCTAAAGAAACTCTTTTTTTTTATCCATATAGGCTTGGAATTTTCGAACTGTCTACCTTCTGCTCCCTCATCTGGTCGATTTCTTCGGTGATGACATGTGAAAATTGCAACCAAAACTGATGCTAATATGCCAAAGACAGGAAGAACTACGTGAAGAACCTTCAAGGTATGCATTATCGAGTTCTTTCTGGTTGAAACTGAATTGCAAGGAGGAAGTCCTTTGATGTTTCCACACAATCCCGGGTTTCCAATGAAGGCTTCTTGGGAAGCATTCTGGAATGGACCAGCAACAGGAATCGAGCCCATCAGCTCATTGTAAGAGAAATCAAACGAACCGAGACTGATTATTTGGAGCAATGTCGTTGGGATTTCACCAGAGAGATTGTTATGTGAAAGATTAAGATTCTCCACTGAAATAAGTCTCCCCAACTCTGGAGGGATTTGTCCTGAAAATGAATTGCTGCTGAGACCTAATGAATACTGAAGAACAACCAAGCTCCCTAACTCACCTGGAATGTCACCAGATAAATTGTTATGGTTCAATTCTAGCTCAATAACTTATTACAATTCCCAAGCCCTTCTGGTGTTGTTCTGCTTAAGCTGTTTTCGGACAAATCTAAGTATTGAAGCTCTGTTAGACTACCAATGTTTCGAGGTATTGATCCTGACAGATGATTCTGGCTCAAATTGAGGTTAAACAACATTGTCAGATTTCCAAGCTCAGTAGGAATGGTCCCAGTCAACTTGTTTGATCCCTAGTTTAGCACCTGCAGCTGTGTCAACTTTCCGAGCTCTGCTGGTATTTTACCCGAGTTTCAATTCTGTTCCATCTGTAGATTGGTAAGGATTTTGCATTCTCCCCACTCGGGCAAGATTTCTCCAATGAATTGATTGTCACTCAAGTCAATATAATCAAGATTTGGATGAACTCCAAATGCATTTGTAATGTTACCGGTAAATCGGTTTCCATCTAGACGAACTCTGACTAATCCACTGCAGTTTCTCAAGCAAGCCGGCAATGACCCTGAGAGGTTGTTGCCATTAACCGTAAATTCCAAAAGAGCAAAGGCACTGCACAATTCAGGAGGCAATTCCCCAGATAAGCTGTTATTGGCAAATTTGACATAAGCCAACTGAGGAATGTATCTCCCAAAATCCTGAGGAATTCTACCGGAGAAATTATTGCTAAGCAATGAAAAGTCTTGTAAATTAGTGAGCCAAGAAATGGTCTCAGGCAACTCACCATACAGTCAGTTCAAGGCTAAGTCTAAAGAGGCGATCGATGTCAAGTTACCTATCTCTTCTGGAATTGTGCCTTCAGAATCATTTTTCATACAGATGCAAGACCTGCAGGTTTTTCAGACCCCATATTGTCAGAGGAATTGGACCAGAAAGCTTGTTACTGCAAGGATTAAATATATGAGATTCTTCAAGCTGCCTATTTCGGATGGAATTGGTCCGGATAGTGTGTTGTTATACAAAAAGAGGAGTTTTTGTCAACAAGCCAATTTCTGGAGGATTCTTTCCAGTGAAAGAGTTGGATTGGAGTTGCAACGAGAACAAGTTGGTCCAGTTAGAGATAAGAGATGGTTGAATCTCACCTGAAAGGGAATTATCAGACAATCCCATCTCTGATATTTTGGTGAGATTGGACAATGACAATAGTAGTTCCCCGGTAAGTCGATTCTCGGCCAAGGCCAGAAAAGTGAGATTAGAGCAAGAACCAAGCTCAAAAGGAATTGTGGAATTGAAGCCATTGGTATGAAGATCGAGTATCTTGAGCTTTTTGAGTTGGCCTAAAGATGATGGAATCTTTCCCTCAAATGAATTTTCAAACAATTCCAAGGTTTCAAGATCAGAAAGGAAGCCTATACTCTCAGGGATTGAACAATTTAACTTATTGGTTGCTAGATGGAGGTTTATGAGCTTGGAAAGCTTGGAAATGTTTGGTGACAGTGGTCCCTGGAACAAATTATTTGAGAGATTCAGATACTGAAGCTGACTCAAATTGGTGAAAACTGGCTCTGGTATTGTCCCTGTCAGATTGTTCACCGACAAGTCGAGGAAAGTCAAATTCCAACAATCTGGTATGAAACCAGGAAACCCCAAATGAAGTGAATTGTTTGCTGGAGTGAGGTATCTTAACAATGGCATGGCTAAGAAGACCAGTCAGGTGAGTCCAACTTGTTCCAGCCAAGGTCTAAGTATCACAATTTTTGAAGAGTGCTTACTTATTAAGGGATTGCACCATTGAGATTGTTGTTTAACAGGCTGAGATATTGAAACTCCGGCAGTTGTCCGAGCACCGACGGTATGTTGCCCTCGAAAGAATTGTTGCTCGTTGAACAAGCTTGGACAGACTACCGATGGCGACCAGTATCGGTCCATTCAGACTGTTTTTCTTGACATCAAAGCGTGTGAGATTGACAAACTGCATGAAGTCAAACCCTGTGAGCGTTCCACTGATGTTTGAACTCAACAGTTTTATTTCAGACACCATTCCGTTATTGTCACAGACAACTGAAGGCCAGTTGCAGAGGTTGTTAATGTTTTGCAGGGACCAAGGTTCAAGAGTATCGAGGAGTAAAGCAAACTGTTTTTCCTTTGAACAAGGGCTTCCCCCTGAGATCTTGCTGAAGAAGTAATCATCAAAGGGTGTAAGAAATGAAACAGAAGATGGAAAACAAAAACGGTAAGCTTTTTAACAGCCGACATATTTAGTTTTCTTTCAGTTCTATATCTGTTCCATTGTTATTGATTAACTCTCATTTATAACAGCAGCTAGTGACTGGGATTTCAGCAACGAAAAGGTAAGCCTTCATCTAATTGGTCTCATATTAACATATAATATTTTGGGGTTGTTAAAACAGATTCGATCTAACCAAAGTTTGTCTGGAACTGTGAATTATATGCGCAAGTTCTAAGTAGCAGAAATGGAAAATTCTAAGTTTCTAGATTCACTTGAACCATGTGTTTTTTAGTTAATTAGTTATGACCAACACAGTAGACTTGGAACATCTTTGACTAACCATATTTGTCCGTAATCTGGTAACTGACATATTAACAAATTTTATTTTTCATTTTACTAAGTATGACTAAAGCAGTT